TTCCTGGGCCCCTCCAACCCCCTGCCCTGCTCAGACATCAGCTTCCCTATGAACCCTCACAGGTCTCCCACTGGACCCCGCTCCCACCTATCCCTTCCAGCCTGGCTTTCAGAGTGTTTGATCCTGTTCCTTCCTGTCATAGCACAGGGTTTCTCAAACTTAGCACTATTGACATTTCAGAGCAGATGATTCTCTGTTGTGGGGCCTGTCCTGATCACTGCAGAATATTTAACAGCATCCCTGGCCTTCACCCACCAGATGCCAGTGTCACTCCCCAGTTTCGACAGTCAAGTCTCCAGAGGTTGCCAAATGTCCTTGAGTTGAGAGCCCCTTCCACGATTCCCAGTGCCTCTCAAAAGACTTTGGGCCTTAACCGCTTGCAGCCTCCTTGGGGCAGCTTCTCCCTTTTGCTCTTGCCCCATTCCCACTGCCCAGACCCCTCCTGGACTCACAGGCCCATGGGGCCAGGGTAGAGAGGTGGGGAGGGAGACAGTAGTTGTTACCAGTGGCTGAGCAGCAGAGACTCAAGGGTAATGCAGGGAAATGGCTGCCCTGAGGGTGGACATGTGTCTGCTCCAGGACCGATGCCCAGCAGGGCCTGGGGAGGAGACCTCATCCTGGTGAAGTGGCGTGCGGGATGGCAGGGGGTCTGGCTGGGACCAACTCTTCCCCTCCAGCCAGCTGTGTCTAGGCCTGCTGGCCTCTCACTGTCCCATGGAAACGGAAGACTCTTACAGAGGAAAAAAATGTCCATCCATGCAGGTGCCTAGGACAACTGAGCCAAAAGGGTGCGGTACTCCTCCATAGTGCAGATAGACACGCTGAGGCCCATGGAGGAGAGTGACAGCGGGCTCTGGCTGGAATCATGCTCCTCTGGCCAGCAGACTTCAAGTGTGAGCCTGCAGCAGGACTATTTGGGCTTGTTGAAATGGACTGCTGGGCTCCACTCCAGAGTTTCTGGCTGAGGAGGTCTGGGATAGACCCCAGGAATGACTTTTATAACAAATTCCCAGGTGATGCTGCTGCTGCTGGGCACTACACCTGGTGAACCACTGCTAGGCAGACAGTGAGACCTCCAGCTGGCAGCTATACAACTGCCTCATCTCACTGAAAGTTAGTGGGTGGAACTTGGGCTGTAACGGTCACTAGTCTTAGGGGCTGAGTGTCCTGAGCCAAGACCTTCTCAGAATAGCCCTTTCCAAACCCAAGGATCCCCAGGGGTATCTCTCCCAGAGCAGGGAAGCAGATAGGAGACCTAGGGTATAGAGGAAGTGGCGAGCAGACCCTAGCCCACAGCATAGCCCAAACTGACTGCTTTGATCCCGGCAGGTCCTGGCCTGGTTTGAGGAGGGCGAGGAGACCATGACAGCCTTCGTGGAGCCTTTGGTCATCATGCTGATCCTCGTGGCCAATGCAATCGTGGGCATATGGCAGGTGGGAGGCACTGAGGTGGAGCTGGGCTGCTGGGTTTGACCCAACTGCTGAGTGTGACCTTTACCTGGTGTTAGAGTCCTGCAGATCCTTCTGCTTCCAGCTCCATCCCAAAGCCCAGGGTGTTACTCCGAGCGGGGGTAGCCTGCTTGGGCCAGCAGGGACAGATCGCCGCCTGCCTTGTGTTCTGCAGGAGCGCAATGCCGAGAGTGCCATCGAGGCCCTGAAAGAGTATGAGCCAGAGATGGGCAAGGTGATCCGCTCGGACCGCACGGGCGTGCAGAGGATCCGCGCCCGGGACATTGTCCCCGGAGACATTGTGGAAGTGGCCGGTACTTTAGGGGCCTCCTCCTTTCATTACGTGATGCTGGCGAGCCCATCCCTCTCTGTGCCCCGCTCTTTCTGGCTGTATGCGTAGAGGGTGTGGCTGTCAGATCCCTACAAAGCTCTTTGTCCCAAACCCTATTGGACAGATGAGACTGTAGGCCAAGGGCAAGGTCCACCTGAGGGATCATAGCTTATGCCCTTGCCTTTCAACTCCAGCCTTGGTTTCTGGGAGCCCTCCTTGCTTTCCAGGGAGGTAGCACCCAAAGCCACACTCAGCCAAGCCATTCTCTCTCTGCAGTGGGAGACAAAGTGCCTGCTGACCTCCGCCTCATCGAGATTAAGTCCACCACGTTGAGAGTGGACCAGTCCATCTTGACGGGTGAGGCCCAGAGGCCGGGCTAAGCAGGGGCTGGGTCAGGAGATGGGGGTGTCTTCATGTGGGGCTTCTTATTTCTTATTCCACAACCAGGCGAATCTGTGTCTGTGACCAAGCACACAGATGCCATCCCAGATCCCAGAGCTGTGAACCAGGACAAGAAGAACATGCTATTTTCTGTAAGTCCCTGGAGCCTTTGCCTGGACAATGATAATCAAAATAATAACATTTAGATGAATCGGTTAAAGCCTTACAGGGAAGAACATCAATTATTGACAATACATATAAATTGATAGTAAAATAATAGGAGCTGCATTGTGTTTACTGAAGGTTCTGTGCCTAGCACTGTGTTAAGCCCATTACATGTATTAACTTATTTAATTCTCACAATGCCTTTGAAATAAGTGCTCTTGTTATCTTCATTTTCCAGCAAAGAAACAGGCACAGAGAGGTTAAGTAAGTTGCCCAAGATCACACAGCCAGTGAATGGCAGAGCTGGGATGTGAATTCAGACATTCTGACTCCAGAGCTTTTCCCCTTACCTGGTAGGCTTATCCTGCCTTAATCTGGAGGGGGTAGAGTTTGCCTATAATCACTCAACAGAGAATCTTCTAAACAGAAGAGGGTTGCCAAAATGGTGGAGGATGGTAGGAATAATCCACATCTCTGATGGGAAAATGAACCGTAAGGCAAGACAACAGGCACCCTTGGCTATTTTTATGGAGAGTGGTGGCTTCAGCCCTGGCGGGAGTGATCTGCCCCTGTGGCCTCAGAAGGACTTAACCAGTGATGCTCACAGGCTTCCTGGAAACAGCCTGAAGCTGAGCACAAAGGCCATAGGAGGGCTCAGGCCAGTTGGCAGTGGCCCAGGGCACCAAGTTATAACAGGCTAGAGAACCTCCTCTCAGAAGAACAGAAATGGAGAAAGCCGTACTTAGATGCATGGAAGCCTTGGGGTGGGGAGGAGATGCTAAGGGGCATGCTCAGCCATCAGCAGCTGTCACTAAGGAACTTTCTAAGGAGGATGCTCTGGCTAACTGCAGGTCATTTCCTTAGCTGAGGGACCTGCAAATGAGGGGCAGGAGCTGCATTGCTCAAGGCAGGAGAGAAGCTGAAGCTTCCATCACCCTCTCTCCAGCCTGAACACAGTGCACCTGTCTGAAGGGGTACTGAGTTATTAGCCTCCTTGGAGCAGCTGTGTCTTGGGCCTCTGCTGGACCATTTTTTTCAGAAGAGGACATGGAGGCTCAAGGCTGGCTGACCCTTACACCAAGACTTAGTGATTTTACCAAGACCTTGGGAATAGATGGACTTAAACTCAAGTTTTCTGGATTCGTCAGTAAATATTGATGGCCAATTTACTGGGAATCAGAGGTCCCCAATCCTCAGGCCGTGGACTAGTACCAGTCCATGACCTGTTAGGAACCAGGCTGCACAGCAGGACGTGAGCGGCGGGCAAGCGAGCGAAGCTTCCTCTCTATTTGCATCCGCTCCACAGCACTGGCATCACCGCCTCAGCTCCACCTCAGATCATCAGGCATTAGAGTCTCATAGGAACACCAGTTTCTGGTGCCAAAAAGGTTGGGGACCTCTCCCTGGGATCACAATCAGCCACACTCACATGTGGCCTCATTGATTGTTTATGAATCATATTTCAGTGGATCGGTGCTGTGCTCTACTGGTTGATCATACTGTCAATATTGTCCTGGTGCTTCTTCTGTGTCAAGCCCCATGCTAGGTGCTAGGGACGATCGGTGCTGTGCTCTACTGGTTGATCATACTGTCAGTATTGTCCTGGTGCTTCTGTGTCAAGCCCCATGCTAGGTGCTAGGGACATGGTGTTGAACCAACTCCTTGCCTTCACAGAGCTACACTATCATGGGGATGATATTAATGACTCAATACTACAATAGCTGCATAAGTCTAGGAGCAGTCAGTGACGTGGAGAAAAAGAGAGCCAAGCAGGGGGATAAGAGCTCTACCCCGGCCTGAAGGAGTCAGGGGTCCTGGGCCCCCACCAGGGTTCTGAGCAGCCCTTTCCTCATCCCTCCCTTGGCCAGGGCACCAATATCGCATCAGGCAAGGCAGTGGGTGTAGCAGTAGCCACAGGCCTGCACACGGAGCTGGGTAAGATCCGGAGCCAGATGGCCGCTGTGGAGCC